AATGTTTTCCTTTAATACAGTCCACACAAATACCTAGATCAATAAAATCTAATTCGGGAAGGATTTCATTCTTTACAAGTCTTTGAATCCTTTCCTTAGATATGTGACCCAAACTTTTATGCCACAAGTAAGCTGATCTTTCATCCACTAAACATCGTTTAGTTCCAATACAATGATGCAAGGTTAAAAGAGTTTCAACAAAAAGATTGTCAAGCTTTAGTTTGTACAAACCATCAGAAAGAATACCAGAACCAATGAAATAAATTTGCTTGAAGAAACAACCATTTCCAAATTTAGTGGAAAAACCATAAGAGTCCAGTTTTGACAAAGAAATTAAATTCCTAGAAACTGAAGGAACATAAAGAGTTTCAAACAAATCCAAATGATTTCCAGTATCTAAAATTAAACGATAAGTTCCAATGGCTTCTACTGGAGCTTTGATACCACATGTAAGTTAATCCTAAAACATAAGATCTTCAGAACACATGCCTTTCACATACTGTATTTAAATAGCATTCTGGGAACATACCTGGCTCCATTGTTTTCCCGTAGTTGCTTGAGTTAGAAACTTGGTTTCTCCCTCCAGACCTTTAACATTCACTTAATCTAATTCTCTGATGGAGAGAGTTTTTTTTTTGTTTTTTTACAGAGGTTGGGGAGAGGACCAGAGTCTCAGAATGAAATATAAATAATAATACGTTCCATCAACGTAAACCTGATGATATGCAGTTGAAACTGCAATCTTATCTTCTTAACTGACCAATCAGAGAATTATCTCATTATTAAATCATAAATAGATATTTAATTATGAACCACAATAAAACATACTGAACCATAGAATAATAATAATAATAATTATTCTAACATTACTGTGTTAACAAAATGTCCTAAGTGTTTTACCACATTTTTTAAGTGTTTTAAAATAAACCAAATTCCTTTATTACTAATTGTGTTTTATGTTGGAATTGTAACCTTGGTGTTTTAACAACAATCTTTATTGAAAGATGCAGAATACTCCAAAAAATTAGGACTATTTGTTTATACTTATTTGATGCCTAAATAACTGCTTGATATACTAACAGTGCTTGCAGGGCTCTTTGTTATAACTGATTGTCAATGTCAGTAGGGAAAAAAACACAACTGTATTCAAAGATAAATCTGCAGTTTTAGCATTGTAATTACATACAGTCCTAATTACATTACATAGAGTCCTAATTACACTACATAAAACCCTAATTAAATTACATGAGTGTTTGGGTGACTTGTGTTTTCTTCCTTGGTGACTTGTGTTTTCTTCCTTAGTGACTTGTGTTTTCTTCCTTGGTGACTTGTGTTTTCTTCTTTGGTGACTTGGGTTTTCTTCCTTGGTGACTTGTGTTTTCTTCCTTGGTGACTTGTCCTGCATACAGTTTAATATATATAACAGTATAGGGTAATAAACAGATATTTAGAAGTGTTTAGGATAAATCCTAGGTATAGGTAAATATAACAGGGGCAAACAGTCCAAACATAGATTAAAATTAAAAGTAAATTGTTCAGGGCACACTGGTGCAATTAAACAAGCCAAATGTTTGTCTTGAAAATAGGAACAACCACAAAAATGTGGTAATAGTTTGTCATTTAAAGGATCTCTTAAATCTTCTCTTGCTTAACAGCAACTGTTTTGCCCTTCTTGCAAGAGGAGGAGAATTGGTCCATAAGAGATCGCTTAACACCATCAGCCTCTAAAGTTTCATGGTCTAGGCTTTGAGATTGTTGCATAGGTAATGGGCTGTTGACCTCATTGCCTCCATTTGAAGCTTCCTGTATATTAAAATAAGCTCATCAGAATAAAATATGTCAAACGTAAGTTAAGAAATGAGATTAGTTACTTGACTTTAGTAGAATAGAAAACAAAACATGATCAGACTCCTCTTCTTCCTCCTCGTCCTCATCTATCATTCTTGATATCAAGTCCTTGTCTTGGTCTTCAATGAGTTTAGAACAGTATGCTGACACTAAGGCTTCATCCCTTAGAACTTTCATAATAGTGTATGCTGCATTAGATCCCTTCCTGAACTCCAATTTTAATGATATCTTGAATACCATTCTCATTCCGACTAATGATTCCAACTCTCTTGGGATGTCAGAAACATAACTTAAAAAAAATAGAATATTATAAAAAAAAAAAAAAAAAAAAAACTCAAAAAAAGTCTATATGGATGTGTCAATTAAGCGACAGTTGTTTACCTTATTATAATTTGTGCACAAACTGTGTGCCGGGATACCAACCAATTCAGAACACTCCCTATCCCATAATAGGAAAGGAGCGTCTCCAAGACCTTTATCTAGGACAATCACTCTTACACGATACCTGGCCATTCACTGTTTGTATTTCTTATCACAACTTGTACATTCAAGATCAGTCCCATCATTAAAAAGTTTCCTGTTACATCCCGGGGACATGCAAGATATGTACATCCATCCAAAAGAACCTTCAATTGCAACAATTTCAGCAGGTACATAGAATTCACCATTCTGCAATTGTATATAGATTCCTTTGTTACTATTTCTTATGTAATGTAACCTATGTTATTAAATCTATACAGAGTACATTGATTGCATGAATACAAATAGGGACTAACCTTTGTCATTTTCATAGCTCCGTTACTGTAGTTACAGTCAAGGCACCACTTGTAAAATCATCAATGCATGTGGATTGGGACAGCACTGTCGCAGTACTGATATTGCGCAAAGGACTGGTTGCAGCATTTAACCTACAGGTGAACACAAATTTTTATTAATGTGTAGTAGAATAGTTGATAAAATGTATAATTTAGGAAAAAAATCCAGGCACTTACTGAGACCTAAAATCAGCAAATTCTTGGAAAGATGCATTGAAATGGAGTTGGGTAGCATCATAGCAGCTAGTTATTCTAACTTCACCTTATTTTGCATGTTAGATGGCAATAAACAATGAAAAATATAAATAATGTAAAAGAATAATACTGTATATTAACTTACCATTGACCACCTTTGCCCGACATAGCTGAAGAACCAGAATTAATGGTTCCTTAAGACCTGAATCATAGTATGGTAGCATGGCACCAACATGACTGTCCCACACAGTGCACTACAAGAAATTACCCCTATAGCAAAGTGTGTTAGACAAAATATAATCTCTGGAAATATAGGTACATATTTTCTAAAATGAAACTTACTCATTATCAGCCATTTTGAAGTCTAGGAGTTTGGTTGGTCTACCCCCTATTATTTTGTCTACAGGAGCATGGATCTCTACAACTCTGCCTATTAAATCTATTTCATCACAAAATAGAAGAATAAAAATTTTTGAAATAAAAACAGCTTAGACAGTATACAAAATGAGCAGAAATCAAAAAAGTTTTGAAGTAGAAACATCTTACACGGTAGACAAAATGAGCAAAATTAAAAACAGCTTACTTACCAAACAGCACCTTGTCATTCACTTGATTAGGGTCTTTCAAAGGGTCAAAACTTTTAAGCTGGAACATCTTAGTAGGGAAACCTTTGGATTTTATGGCCTTTACCTGAGTCTTATAGTTTAGCCTGATCATATATTTGTGATCACAAGTTTTGTACATATAGTAATGGGTGAAAACAACAAAATTTTTGACTGAATACAGCTTCCCTTCTTGGAAAACATTGTTGTATTTTTTGACATCATTACTTTGGAGGTTCAAATGGATGAAAGTGGCCTGCAACATTAGCATAACCTTAAACAGTGTAGATAAAAAAAACTATATAGACTCTAGATTTAGCATAAGAATAACCTAAAACAGTGTAGATAAAAAAACAGTATAGACTCTAGATTTTGGTGAACAATAAATCTCTGTAAAAGAGACTATAAATCTGTTTATAGTGCATGTATTAATGTAGAGCATATAATTGCGTAGAGCCTAGGCATTAAAAATCAGCATAAGCTTTGAATAATAGAACAAAAACCTACCATAAGGAAATACATTATTGCTAGAGACATGAAAATAAAATGTGGTATATCTATCTAGAGTGAACAGAAGAATACAATATCAAATAGTGAAGATCATACCTCTGCATCACAAAACAAAACTTCTCGACTCTTAATCTCTGTAGAGCCTTTTTCATAGATTTCGTAACACCGCACACACTTTACTCTTATTGCTTTCTCCCTATCGAGAGGACCAATATCCTTTACAGCTACATACATTGGCATGGTTATCTTGCAAATAATTTGTTTCTTTTTCTCTGGTTCACAGGTGATACGAACTGAAGCAAATGTGGAGTAGGTAGTGGAGGTCTCCATAGTGATCTGTTTATATAGAATGGAGAACTGCAATTCTAAATCTATGATGTGTCTTGGAACTATGAATGGTGCGGGCGACCTTACAGTTTCCAAACGCATGGGGATCAGACATTAGATCATTGAGTTTCTTTATTATAATTGTATTTATATTGATTTTTTCTAGATTTGAGATGTATATTTTCGAAGTAGTGTTTAATCTAAACAGTCTCCTTAGAAGTCTGTAATTAATAGAATTCTATTTAAATTCTATTAAAATTGCTTTATTGTTGTTGGTATTAACAAAAAAGTAGGCGGCATAATTAATGATCTCGCGTTAAGCATTAGTTAACAGCATTTAGTTTCGACCTTAATCTCTTATATACAAAGTGACGTCGTTTGTTTTGAGCGGGAATTTTTTTTGGTAGAAAGTTGTTGCTTTATTATAATAAGAGATTATTTGACATGAGTCTTGAAATATTAAACTTACCTCATATCTTCTTTTCGAAAAAAAAAAAAAAAAAACTTACCTCATTTCACATTTAGTGACAACAGAAATTGTCACCAAAACTATCAATTTTGGTCACTATTGAAATTAGTGATCAATTTTTGAAGTCGTCACCTGTCGTCACTATATCCTCCGTCACTATTGTAGTAGTGACGGCTTTTGAAAAGTTGTCACAATTACTCAATACCTTTGTGACAATATTTACTTACACTAAAAGTAGTATTTGAGTGATAATGATAGTTGTCACAATAAATGTATAATTTGTGACCAAATATGTTATTACAAAAAATTGATCTAGTGACAACTAAAATCGTTGCAATTAATTATTTTATTGTGACAACAATTTAGTCATAATAGTTGTACTTATTTGTGAGAATTGTTGTTGACACAAAAATGATTATCTGTGACCTAAAAAGTGGTAGCAAATAATTAATTTCTTGTAGCCATCTTCTTCGTTACTGATATCGTTAAAAATAGTGGTCACGTATTTGTCACTAAAATACAAAAAAAATAGTGGCAAAATTTGTGTCACTAAAATAAGTTGAAATCGTGTCAGTTTTGTCAATCTTAATGTTTCTATAAGTGACCATTACTTGGTCACAATTTTTTTTTTTTCAATAATACTATCCAAATGCACATAATAATATAAAAATTTTTTATTTCAAAATCTTTTCATAATTTAATGTTTTAATTTAATTATTATCTAGAATAAAATAATTCATTCAACAAGCGTTACTCGTCAAATTAAAATATATATAACAAAAAGGCCTCATTCTCTAACAAATATACGTTGTAAGAAATACAACAGAATCAAATAAAAACTTTTTAAAATAAAATGTCTTGATTATTCTTCACTTGAAGTAGTTGATGGAGATGCATTGCTTAGCATATTTCGAAGCCCTTAACTGCTTGCTAAGTGAGCAAAAATTTTCTTGATTTCAGCGGCTTGTTTCTCTAAAGCTGCTTCTGCGATTTCTTTAAAATTTGCAACTTCTTCTAAATTCTTTTCACGCTTCTTTGAAGCTTCTATCTTTGCTTGAAGAAGAATCTTCTCTTGGGCCTTAAATGTTCTTCTCTAAGTGAGCAGAAATCCCATCACCTATCAACCAATAACATGTTCTTCTACTCTAGGTACAATGTTTGATGTTTCAACTATTCCATTGAAATGTTGATTAGAAACCTCATTGTTTTTAGGCTCGCCCACCATATGAGAATTATGCTTATCAGTTGAACTTGTTAATGATCTCAGTCTTTTAAGATTGACCATTCTACACATAAATAAATAAAAAATTGAGTTATTAATAAGTCAAGATTAATATGTATAGATTAATAAATCAAAATATATATATTTCATACCAAAAACAAGAGTAAACGAATTTTCAAAGTATATATAAACACACACATGCTTCAACATCCAAAATTTAAAATTTTTTAAGCGTGCAATACATACAATCATGTGAAGTAAGATGACATATATACCGATAATTAAGTTGCTTCTCATTAGAGGGTGGAGACCAAACTTAACTCTTAAATATAGCATAATAATTATAGAAATGCCCTCAATATTATTTTGAAAGAAAAACATAAAAAAAAAAAAAACACTCTATCTTGAAAATGCACATACATCATATGAGCATAATCATTGCATATAGCAAACTGCAATCTAAGTTACTGTACAAGTTTACCAGATTAACAAATAAAACATACCACATAATTAAAAAAAAAAAACACCAAATTGTACTATGAACCACATTGCAAGAGACTACTAATAAATTGTTGGTCCCGATGGGGTGGTGAAAGTCTAGAGGGGGGTGTGAATAGACTTTCAGGCTTTTTCGAAGTAAAATAAATAACTCTTTGGTAATTTCAACTCTAAGTAACAAGTAAATAGAGTTAGTTTAAACTGCACAGCGGAATAGGTAGTATCTAAAGAGTTATGCCCAATCAATGAATTAAATACGCATGTAAGATAGGTACAGATGATATGTAAGTGACAAAGATATCTTGAATATATAAAGGAGATGGTTCACTCAATATATAATAACAATATTCAAGATTGTAAATAAATATCGTATCACGTCGACCGTGTGATGAACGTTACATGCAACACGTCAAACTTGCTTAGAATAATTCAATGTTTAAGTTTATGAAGTTTGAGTCACATGCATACGTGAAAACAAACTAAACCCGAACGATTAAGATTGACTGTGAATAGTAAACGGGTTAGTCGGATAAGATAGATAGATAGAGCAGATTATGTAAGTGCGGTATGTAAATGAGAGAGGCAATTTATAGTGGTTCGGAAGTGGCGTAATCTTCCTAGTCCACTTTTCTCCTTTCGCGTCTAGGAGAAATTCACTATTTTCCACACACAGTTACAATAGTGAATAAGCGCTACACAAGCCCTTCTTCCGGATGTTTTGCACACAGCTACACCCAACCCTGAGTGTCTCGCACACAGCTACACTCAACTCCGAGTATTTCGCACACAGCTATACTCAACGCCAACTAAGTGTCCTGCACACAGCTACACTTAGCAACTACGAGTGTTTTGCACACAGCTACACTCACTAGAGTATTTCGCACACAGCTATACTCTTTCTACAATTACAAATACAAAGGTAATTGTATCTCTCTCCAACTAGATTTGAGACTATTCAGACTAAGTCTCTAAGAATATTTGAGCACTTGCACTTTTTCGTGTGTATTGCACTTCTATCTCGTGTCTATCTTGTGCACCTCTCTGCTTCATACTTCAAGTCTTCATGGCTTTTTATAGGTAATCAAATATATCCGTTGGAGTGGGATAATTTGATATTTGAATTTTGAATCTTCATAGCCTGATATTGTTGACAATAGTAGGTCTTCAATTTTGATTTGATTGTCAACTTGCCTGACAAATAATATTTTATCACAACTTGATTTTCTAGTTGTTTCTTAAAATATTATTTTTCTTGTCACATTGAATATCCAACGTATCTTTGAAATAAATTCATCTGATAGAATTTATTTCTAGGATAACTTTTTATATTCATGTCTTCATAAATATTTTTCCGTTCTGATCAAATGTCTTTCAGGAAATTTTGGATTCTTGTGGCATGTGGGTAGACTTGGAAATAAATTCCTTCGAATTTATCCAATTTCTGATCATCTTGATTCTTTGCCACATTGTGCTCCTTTGACTTGAACATCGTGCTCCTTTGACTTGAACATCGTGCTTTTCTGATTTGGTCACATTGTGCTCCTTTGGACACATCGTGCTTGTCAGCATTGTGCTCCTTTTGATACATTTTGCTCCTTTTGACCATTGTGCTCCTTAGCACACATCGTGCTCCTTTTGAACATTGTGCTCCTTAGCACACATTGTGCTTGTCAGCACACATCGTGCTTCTTGGCACATCGTGCTCTTTTAAATTCATTGTGCTCTTTTGATAGCATTGTGCTCCTTGGTAGCATTGAGCTCCTTCGGTAGCATTGTGCTCCTTGGTGAACATCGTGCTCTTTTGGACATTGTGCTTGTCCGAAAATTTGACTAGTAAAAAATAAGTCCTTGGGGGGAATTGATCTCGGGTGTGATTGTTTTGGGTAAGAACTTCTACCATTTCGCCGTTAGGCTCATCCAATCATTTTTTGCAACGCCATTCTTTTATGCTTCTTTCTCGGATGAATACTCGTAGGACCAAAATTAATTTCTCAAATTTATTTTGTTCTTCCTATGGTAGATTCCTTCTGACTCGATATTCTGATTTATGATGCTTGTACTAAAAGACCTAAAAACTAAGGGGTTCTATGTTGGTCCCGATAGGGTGGTGAATAGACTTTGAAGCTTTTTCACAATTAAATAACTCTTTGGTAATTTCAACTCTAAGTAACAAGTAAATAGAGTTAATTTAAACTGCACAGCGGAATAGGTAGTATGTAAAGAGTTATGCCCAAATAATGAATTAAATACGCATGTAAGATAGAATAAAGTAACAGAGGTATCTTGAATATATAAAGAAGATGGTTCACTCAATATATGATAACAATATTCAAGATTGTAAATAAATATCGTATCACGTCGACCGTGTGATGAATGTTACATGCAACACGTCAAACTTGCTTATAATAAATCACTATTTAAGCTCGAGAAGTTTGAGTCACATGCATACGTGAAAGCACACTAAACCCGAACGATTAAGATTGATTGTGAATAGTAAACGGGTTAGTCGGATAAGATAAATAGATAGAGCAAATTATGTAAGTGCGGTATGTAAATGAGAGAGGCAATTTATAGTGGTTCGGAAGTGGTTTAATCTTCCTAGTCCACTTTTCTCCTTTCGCGTCTAGGAGAAATTCACTATCTTTCCACACACAGTTACAATAGTGAATAAGCGCTACACAAGCACTTCTTCCGGATGTTTTGCACACAGCTACACCCAACTCCGAATGTCTCGCACACAGCTACACTCAACTCCGAGCGTATTTCGCACACAGCTATACTCAACGCCAACTAAGTGTCTTGCACACAGCTACACTTAGCAACTACGAGTGTTTTGCACACAGCTACACTCACTACAGTATTTTGCACACAGCTATACTCTTTCCACAATTACAAATACAAAGGTAATTGTATCTCTCTCCAACTAGATTTGAGACTATTCAGACTAAGTCTCTAAGAATATTTGAGCACTTGCATTTTTTGAATTTTCGTGTGTATTGCACTTCTATCTTGTTCACCTCTGCTCCACACGTTGCACTTCTTTGTCTTCAAGTCTTCATGGCTTTTTATAGGTAATCAAATATATCCGTTGGAGTGGGATAATTTGATTTTTGAAATTTGAATCTTCATAACCTGATATTGTTGACAATAGTAGGTCTTTAATTTTGATTTGATTGTCAACTTGCCTGACAAATAATATTTTACCACAACTTGATTTTCTAGTTGTTAAAATATTATTTTTCTTGTCATATTGAGTATCCAACGTATCTTTGAATTAAATTCATCTGATAGAATTTATTTCTAGTATAAGTTTTTATATTCATGTCTTCATAAATATTTTTCCGTTCTGATCAAATGTCTTTCAGGCAATTTTGGATTCTTGTGGCATGTGGGTAGACTTGGAATAAATTCCTTCGAATTAATCCAATTTCTGATCATCTTGCTTCTTTGCCACATTGTGCTCCTTTGACTTGAACATCGTGCTCCTTGACTTGAACATTGTGCTTTTCTGATTTGGTCACATTGTGCTCTTTTGGACACATCGTGCTTGTTCACATTGTGCTCCTTTTGATACATTGTGCTTGTCAGCACACATTGTGCTCCTTAGCACACATCGTGCTCTTTTGGTAGCATTGTACTTGTCCGAAAATTTGACTTGTAAAAAATAAGTCCTTGGGGGGAATTGTGCTGACACATCGTGCTTGTTCACATTGTGCTCCTGTAGATACATTGTGCTCCTTTTGATACATTGTGCTTGTCAGCACACATTGTGCTCCTTAGCACACATCGTGCTCTTTTGGTAGCATTGTACTTGTCCGAAAATTTGACTTGTAAAAAATAAGTCCTTGGGGGGAATTGATCTCGGGTGTGATCATTTTGAGTAAGGACTTCTACCATTTCACCATTAGGCTCATTCAATCATTCTTTGCAACGCCATTCCTTTATGCTTCTTTCTCGAATGAATACTCGTAGGACCAAAATTAATTTCTCAAATTAATTTTGTTCTTCCTATGGTAGATTCCTTTTGACTCGATATTCTGATTTATGATGCTTGTACTAAAAGACCTAAAAACACAGGGAATCTAAAGTACATTTGGCTCATCAAAACTTACAAAAATATTCCTATCATAAATGTTTATTTGTAGTATGCTAACAATTCATTTTTAATTTGTTATATGCTAATTTTTTAATAATATACTAAAAACGAGCTAACACTAAAAGTGAATTATAAGTATATTAAAACTAAATTTGTATGTCTATAATCCATCTTGTAATGATGGTCCACGATATAAAAATTGGCTAAAAACCCACATAGACAAGCAAGCAAAAGTTCGAAGTTTTAAAACAAATTTTGAAATTGTTCAAATTATACATAGAAATTTATTGTTGTGTTTTTGTATCCAAATCTTGTGTATAGTTGCACTGTATATATACTAGCTGATTAATGTATAAAAGGTAGATAATATAATGATGAAAAGTATATGGATAGATGTTATTTCTCGTGAGAGAAATACATTTTGAATCAATTTTGAGAAATTGTTACCTAATCAACCAAATTAATTATACTTTAACTGATTTGATTAATTGGTCCATAACTAAATTTTTATTACATCTAATTTATTTTATATTATATATTTAATACAACCATATTGTAAAATTGTACTACATTGGAGCAATCATTATTGTGTGGACCATGATTTTGTGTGGACCATATTTTGTCTACTGTAAAATAATGTACATTCAATACGAAAATAATGTACATTGTATTCAGGGGATGTGCATTATTTTTGTTCTGAGTGTACATTATATTGTATAATGTACATTCAGTACAAAAATAATGTAGATTTAGTATATTAAAAATGTACTTTTTGTTATTGTCCACATAACATTGTGTGGACCATGCTCCACACAATAATTTGCCACATTAGAGGGCTCTTATTTCTTTACTTAATTTTCTATCTTGTTATCTTTTATTGTGTGTGGTTCATGCCTAAATTAAAGATAATTAATTGAATTAAAAATTAAGTAGAAACCATTTAGGAATCTCTTGTATTCAAGATTCACGATCATTTTTATATATATATATATATATATATATATATATATATATATATATATATATATATATATATATATAGAGAGAGAGAGAGAGAGAGAGAGTTAATAATCAAAATGGTCCCCCCAACTATACCGTAATTACCAATTTGGTCATCGACTATTATTTTTACCCAATTAAATCCTCAACTATGCAATTTTTATCCAATTTAGTCCTCTGTTAATTTGACCGTTTGTTGACCGTCAAAAGTGAGGATCAAGAATTGACAATGTTACATCCCACTGGCTCAATAATTGAACAAGTTTACACATCATTCTTTGAATTTTATCAATGTATGAAAGCTTCTAAAAAATTTGTAAGTTAATTTTTATTATATCATTATAAAAATATTTATTGTAACAACATATTTTGAATTATTTATTATCTTCATCTATTGACAGCAATTTTCAATGACAAACTTCCAAAACAATTTGTCTCAACAACGAATGTAAATAAAAAAATCAATGACTTTAATGTTGTTGATGAAAAGTATGTAGCCACTTTATTACTATTATTAAATTAAATAAATTAGTAGCTACAACAAAAAATAATGCATATGCATTTAATTAATTTAGAATTAGATGTCTATAATGTCATTATTCAAAAAAAAAATATTCATTATAAAAAAAATTTAAAAAAATATAATTTCATTAGTTATATTATATTTATTTATTTTCTACAACCTTCCAAAAAATATTTATTTTCTACAATTCAAAGATTCATTACCTTCAATTCAAATTCATTAATTAATTATATTCACTACATTGCACATTGTCTTCTTTTTACATTATCTTGTAATTAAATATCAAAGTTATAATACAAAACATGTTATATATTTATAAGTATTTTATAGAAATATAATAAATATTAATATTTTGTTCAATACTTTCACATGATAGTCTATAACACACATCTCACGATATATGAAACATGTAGGGAAAAACTACCACAACCAAATATCAAATACAACTAAGATCTCAGTCATATACACAACAATGAAAATCTAAAACTTCCAACACCATAATCTCATTGCATGATGATGGCCTCTATGCTACCACCAGTAACCCAATTGCACATGACATACTACAAATAAAAAAAAATTAAAAAAAGAAAGAAAAAAAAAAGAGAGGACATGACATGTACTGAAGACAAAGACAATTATAATGTTGCCCAAAAGAGAATTAAGAAGACAGAGAAAAATTTAAACAAAAAATAGTATTTATCTAGACTATCACTTTTAGACTACGTATTTAGACTAGCGTTATTATAAAGTTGCAAACATTTATTATAGTGACAATTATAATCATTCTGTCATATATATTATCTTGCATTTATATACTTTAAACAAATTCAATATTCACTTACCTATGCAAGAACATCTCCTATATAATAATGCATTGATATATTTTGAAATACTCATTTAAACTAATTATTGGGCATTATCCCATTCGCGCAATACGCGTAAAAAAAAAAAAAAAAAAAAAAAAAAAAAAAAAAAAAAAAAAAAAAACTAGTATTAAAATAAATACTAAGTGATGGAATAAATTTAAATGGGGTTTGTTCTTATTTAATTTAAAAATAAAGAATGAATTGAAGACAAGACAATGTTTGACACAAGACAATAAAACTTTTAATTCGATATTAAATGCTTGTTCAATATAATAATTTGGTCTTTGTAAGAGAAAAAACATGTCTTTAAAGAGACAAGGCTTCCCCTATTTATACAAGAGGTTCCTAGCATGCCTTAGGCCACACGATTCGGACACCTTCCAAGAGGATCAAATCGAGCACTCACAATATAATGGCCCTAGCTAGTTAGGTCAGCCCTAATTAAGGTTAGTCTCTTAATCCTCGCCTTTGCCTTGTGCTTATCCTGTTGGACATGGCAAATTATCTTATGCGGTTACAAATTTGTTCATAATTGTGAATATAAAGTTAAAAAATTATGAACATAGTGTTCTGTAATTGTAAATATAGATTTTCAATAATTGTGAATATAAAGTTCAAAAATTATGAACATAGACTTCAGTAATTATGAACATAGAGTTCTATAATTGTGAATATAAAGTTCAATAATTGTGAATATTAAGTTAAAAAATTATGAACATAAAGTTCAGTAATTATGAACATAGAACCGTGTCCATCTTACGAGGCGGACACGGTTCCACGGCATAACGATCCGTTGGACATCGCTTCTTGAACTTGATTGTTTGGGTTAGATTCGGCCAATATATCTTTGTGTGGGTTGTTATACAATGGGCCATGGTTCATAATGCTATGTGGATTTTGGTTGTCAAATGAAATTACAATAGAATTAAAATAATACTTTAGTTACTAAAATAAAACTAATAAACAAAACTCATTCAAGAACGTATATTGTCAAATGAAACAAATAAATAAATAAACCATTTGTGACTTGTAAAGCTAAAAATTTGAATAAGAGGACGTATATAGTTCGTGGAGGATCCAGGCTTGAGTGGTATCATATATTCATATATATTATCCAGGTTGATTATATTTAATTTGCAGATTTTATCATTAACATATTGAAACAGTTCACTAATTAAATAAGAGTAAATACCCAAAATGGTCCCTCGACTATAGCTAAATTCACAAATTGGTCTTCGACTTTCAGTTTCAACCAATTAAGTCCTTAACTTTGTAATTTTGACACGATTTGATCCTCCATCTATTTGACTGTTTGTTGACCGTGATCGACGATCTCCAGAAGAACCTTCAGCTCTCGTCAGAGCACGTGGAGGCCTCCAGGATGACGTTGCACTGGTTCGGAAACACGTCGTCTTCTTCGCTCTGGTACGAACTCAACTACATTGAATCCAAAGGGAGGACGAAGAATGGCGATCGGATTTGGTAGATTGCTTTCGGCAATGAATTCAAATGTAACAGTGCGGTCTGAAAATGCAACTAGAACCTTAAAAAATTGACGATGGACCATGAAATTACATATATATCCTCAAAAATCACAGTCAACAAATGGTCAAATAGACAGAGGGCCAAATTGTGTTAAAATTACAAAGTTAAGGACTTAATTGGTTGAAATTGAAAGTCAAGAACCAATTTGTGAATGTAACTATAGTCGCAGGACCATTTTGGGTATTTACTCATTAAATAATACTCCGTATCAAACTTAGGCAACAAACCTAATATGAAATACAAAGTATTTAATATATTAATAATACTTTTACTTACATATATTATCGGTTTTTAAGTAGTAATCAACACTTGATTATTAACAAATTGTATATTTAAAAAGTTTGTGAAACACTCAAAGACAAACATGTTAATAGAGATCAGACTAATATTTTCAGCTAAATACTTGTGTTTAGTAATGCTTTTAATTTACTAAAATTTTTGAATTATTTTCAGTGCTAATAAATAACAACATACCTAAAAAAAAAGGGTGAGATTCTAATTATTTTTTTTCACAATCTTTTTTAAATATTTCACAATTCAAATAGTTTACTCTGCAGGCTGGTTCAATAGAACCTACATGAATGTAGTAAAAATCAGACTCTTTGAGGTCATGTCTCCTTTGAATAATACATTGTTGAATTTTTTGTTCAGCATCGTTGCGAATATCTTTCATAATACTTTCTGGAATTGGAAGTGTATTATTACGTGAAGACACTAATAAAGGAAAAGCAATGGCCAACACGAAAATCATAGTAATGTGTTTATAACTCATAATTGATTATTTCTTTATTCACTGCTGGAAATTTGCGTTTTTCCGACCACATTTCCGACCACCTCAAAATATGGTCGCAAAACGTGAATTTTTTTTCTTTTTCGTCACGCGCAAGTTTCGTCGGAAAGTGGTCGGACATTTCCGACCATTTCTGAAATGTGGTCGGAAATTTCCGACCACATGCAATGGTGGTCAGTAAATTATTAAGATTTTTTTTAACCGTGTCCAGAAGACTTACCGACTACTTTTGTGGTCGGAAATTTCCGACTACTTTGGGAAATGGTCGGAATGCTTTGCTTTATTATTTAAAAAAGTTGACTATTTCCGACCACTTGTGGGTGGTCGGAAGTTCTTTTATATTCCCAGTTCCATACTTCTCTCAGTTTTTTATTTTTTAATATCTTTTTACAAATTTCTTCATTTCTGCTGGATATTTTTTTGCTAAACCACTCACAATAATGTAAAAATCAAACAAGGTATATATATATATATATATATATATATATATGACTTCCATTTATGTCATTTTTTTTATATCTAGCTAGTTTGAACCTTTTTGTACTTTTTTGTTTTGTTTTTTGCAAGAAATTTTATAGTGTTGAAATCATGGTAAGATATATGTATATATTTTTAGATTTTTATTTATGTCATTTTTTTTTTTAGATCTAGCTAGTTTTAACTTTTTGTATATATTTTTGTGAGTACATTTTAAATTTATTTATTTATGTAATGCATATATATATATACATATATATATATATATATATATATATATATATCTAAAAACATAATAAGTGTGAATGAATATTATACCTTTCATTTATGTCTATTTTTTTCGTTAAGTTTTTTTTTTTTTTACATGATGCTATAAAGGTTGTACTTTACAATATTTTGGACAAACATACCCCTAACGTTATAACTTCCGTTATCTTCTTAAATAATAATAATAATAATAAGATACCTCAATATATTAATCATTTGATGGGTCCCGATAATCGAGTATCTACTAGGTATTATGATGAAAAAAATTACTTACAAAGTTTGGTCTTGGACATGAGAAGATTGATTGTTGTGTAAACAGTTGTATGCTATACTATAAGTCTGAAATCAATGACAAGCACTGTAAGTTTTGTGGTGAGCCAAGATTTAAACCATGACCACCTGGATGTACTCGTGCAAAAGATGTACCACGAAAAAAAGAATGCATTACCTTCCTCTCATCCCTAGATTGCAACGTTTGTATGCATTCCATAGCTCTGCTCCACATATGCGGTGGCATTATGAAAATCACCGTGGACCTAGTATAATGTGTCATCCTTTAGATGGTGAAACATGGAAGCACTTTGATAGAAGGTTTCCTAATTTCGCAGCAGATCCTAGAAACGTGAGATTAGGCTTATGTTCTGATGGATTTTCTCCTTTTGGTTTCAATGTGAAGTCGTATTTTTGTTAGCCTGCGTATGGTATGTTATCTGGATGGCAGACAGCCGGGAAACTAGCATGTCCTTATTGTCTTCAGTATTCTAAATGAGTTTACTTAAAGAATTGTCATAAAACATGTTGGTTTATAGTTATCTTTTATAAATATATAAGAGTAAATACTCAAAATGGTCCCTCGACTATAGCTAAATTCACAAATTGGTCATTGACTTTTAATTTCAACCAATTAAGTCCTTAACTTTGCAATTTTAACACGATTTAATCCTCCGTCTATTTAACCATTTATTGATCGTGATCTTTGAGAATATATATGTAATATCATATATCATACATATCATTATATAATAATATAATAATAGTAATAATAGTAATAATAGTAATAATAATAGTAGTAATAGTAATAATAATAACAATAATAATAATAATAATAATAATAATAATAATAGCCGCTACCCTCCACCCTCCTCTCTCACTTAGCGCCATTCTAAAAAATTTCACCCAAAAAATGACGCCTTAGCTTACTGCCAGTGTATACCTCCAAATTTTCTCCCTCCTTCAAAATTCACAAATTTCATTCACCAGTGTCGCCCCACTACTCCTCCCTCCTCCCAACTACTTCACTCACCATTGAAGTAAGTTATTCATGCTCCTTCCTCCATTTTTGTGTGCTTCTGGAAGTTAGGGTTTTAACATGAACTCCAGCACAGGGTCGTATTTAATCTGGATTCTTCCATATCTCACCGGGGCATTCGGCTCAAAATCAGTGGATCAGTCAGTTTGCAGGTTCTAATTTCCACTTTCAATAATTTTTTGATAAATTTGTGTTATAACTTAGAATTACGCAGCTTCAGGAAAATTTTAAATTTGTGTTATAACTTATTATCAAAATTTTAAATTTGAGCTTTTAGGTTCGTGGAGTATCAGCTGGAATAGTAGACTCCTTTTACAGTGTGATTAAGCCTATCCCCATTGTGTATGTTCCCCTTTGCTACTTTACAATAATTGCAGTTTTTTATAGGGAAGTTGATTTATTGTATTACTTGTTGTGAAGTTTAAAAGTGTGATGAAAATTGGAAGTAGAAGTAAAAGTGCAAATAAGTGCTTTCTTGGTCAGTATTACAATGAGTTCACTTCATGTAAGATGAACATTTTGCACAGAAAATGTTTTACAATTTTTGTTATTCACTTTACTGGAATGTTTTCCTAACCAAACAAGTGCAATGTGTTTTCTAGCAATACTAAAATTTTTAGTTAGGAAAGGGTTTAGGGTTCTAATTTTGATGTGTTAAGAGGGAAAAAGGGGGAATAATTTCAAGTGATATAAAAAGCTTAACAGTTATGAAATGATTTGTTTATCTAGTTAGGAAAGGGTTTAGGGTTCTAATTTTTATTTATCTGTTTTACTCTGTGCTTCATTGGTGTTTATTTATTTATTCTTGGATTTTCTTTGGTGTTTATTTATTTATTTACATTGAAGCATGGAATCGTATTTATCCTCCAACAGCAGCTCATTTTTAGGCTTCATACTATCTTAGTTGTTACATTTGCTACCTGCAGGATCTGATTGTTTCATATCAAGTTATGAGGCACTTTAAGAGTACTGAGTGGAGATAGTGGCATTTAAAGAATCTTAATTTGCCTCTATTTAGTCATTAGTGTCTGATTGTAGAAAACTTTGCAAGTCCATTTGATCTTTATTTATGATGCATACAAACACTCTAGATTGGGTGTTTCCATGTTTGAAAAGCATTTCCTTTAATAAACTTTGGACACACCATAAAATGTTTTAAAATTTTTAAAGCTGTTTTTATTTATTTATTTATTTATTTATCATTTCAAATGTTTAGTTGGGTGATTACTTGCTTCACTAATCTATTATATTCTATTTTTTGTGTGGTTTAACAGCCTAAGTTATGTTCCAAAAAAGGAAAAGTTTGATGTCCCAACTTTCAACACAACCCGACAGTTGTATAATAGTGATTCGGAACGTACTATGTCGGCATCACCTACTTCAAATGAAGCTGATTTGGAAGGAGGATCACCTACCTCGAACCTTGCAGTGGGCATAAAAAAATCATAGAAAGCATCACTCGGTACTTCCCTGGGGCTGTCAAGACGTACAACGTACAGGAGGTTCAATCCCGATTACTAAGCATAAGCGAAGATTAGTAAGTCATTTAATAATATTTAAATACAGTTCCAATTTTAACAATAACATTAATGCATAGTTTATTGAATTGTTGTTGTTAGATAGAAAGAAAAGCTCAGAGAAGAGCCCTCACATGCTGTTTTGTTTCAAGCTACACACAAACGCAAAAAGACGGGTGAGTTTGTGTGCAAAAAATCTCAACAAATCATGGTAAGAATCTCAATTCCTATAATCTCTTATCATTAAATATAAAACTATGATGTAGTTATATATTTCCAAATAATTTTACATATTCTTGACTGTGGTTTGCTTGGGTTGCTCATGAAATTTATTGGATAGTAAATTGTAGAATGTGGGGTTGATCTAAAATGCCAAATGTGGATCTATGGGTCTATGCTGCTGTCTTTTGGAATGAAACTCACTGGAATGAAGTGGTGGTTCACTGGAATTTCATTCCATTCCTAGATGAAATCCCAGTGAACACCAGTTCACTGGGATGAACCCTTAAGGGTTCACTGGAATTTCATTCCATTCCAGTGAACCCTTCACTCATTCCAGTGAAAGGGGTGGTTCACTGGGATTTCATCCAGAAATCCCAGTGAACCAGTTTACTCCAGTAAACTGATTCATAATTCTAGTCATTATGAACCAATGATGATTAATAATTATAATGCAACAGAGTATATAACTAGTGTAGGTTTTGAATGTATTTGTGTTGAGATGGGGCCTGTAAAATCTGAGTTTGTTACATTGTTAATATATGAGTGAATTGTTACATTGTTATATCTGAGTGATGTGAAATTTTCTGATTCATTTGTTCAAATTGACACTTGCTTTTTTATTAATGAACATTTGTTAATATATGAGTTTTAAAAAATTGTCTATCAATATAGGAAATCGCAACTCAAAGGCAGCAAACTGAACATGAACTTGACCAAGAAACTATTTGGTATGAGGCAACATGTGGTCTCAAAAAAGGAGGTTATGTGTGTGGCTTTGGATCAGATATCCAACACTACTTTTCCGAGACGGTGAGGCAAAAGAAGTCATATGGATCATGTGAGTAAAGAATTAAAAAATTGGAGCAAGCCAACGAGGAGATTAAAGAGCAAAATAAGAATATTATGGAGTTGTTCCGAGGCATATGTGGTGCAATCCGGAATTGTTACAATCTGTTGCTCCTACAATTGATAGGAATCAAAGTTGTGGTGTTGGGTGAGATAATTTTGACTAAGTAAAACTTGTGATATTAATGTAAAAATATTTGGAATTGTAAGTAGCTACTACTTTTTGAAATGTAAAGTAGCAACTACTTTTTGAATTGTGAACATGCAATTAAAATTGTAAGTTTTTGGTAATATTACATTGTTATAAAAGTACTATTTCTTTAAAATTAGTATTATAGGATATATAATATGTATTAAATAAATTGAGCAGTGAAATATATTTTTTATAAAATTAATTTTCAAATGTATTAAATAAATTGAGCAGTGAAATATATTTTTTATAAAACGTACTACGTGTATATACAAAAGGTGGTCGGAAGATATAATTCGTATATACGCGCAGTACGTTTTCCGACCATCAGGTGGTCGGAAGTGCCAACCAGCCACCATTCCCTCTGCGACAAAACTTTCTGACCACTCTATTTTAGTGGTCGGTGTTTCCGACCACTACCTAGGGTGGTCGGAAGTTCCGACAAGCATTTTTGCGGATTTAAAAAGTGGTCGGAAAGTCGGTCGGAACAGGAGTTTTCAACCCATTTTGGCGATTTCCGACCACGTTTGAGTGGTCGGAAAATCGCTGATTTCCAGTAGTGATTGTTTTATTTCTAGTCTAGCGTGTCTATATATATAATGACAAGGTGAATTGAATTGTATTAACTATTAAGTAAGAGGGTTGTAATTAACTTTGATCGAAATTTAGTCAACATACAAATCATCTGAATCATCTATTCCTTTACAAACTGAAATAACTAGTTAATGCTATGCTATGTTGAGTAACTGTTTTGTAATGTTTGTTAAATAAGAATGACATGTTCAGTGAATAGTTTTGTATTTTGAATTTATTATACATATGTATACGTACATTACTCAATCAATTTCATAATCTTTAATATATATATTTTTAAAGCAGAATACTTCAGATTTTATTATCTCATCTCATCCCATGTTCGTACCTGAGCACACCATCCGCATTTGATCCGTACTATATATATATATATATATATATATATATATATATATATATATATATATATATATATATATATATATATATAATACAATTCTAATAAGAGCTAATAATGTTAAGTCTTTAACTAGAATAAAAAAAAATGTTGGTGGTAATTGTTTCTTAAAATGAATGGTTCATATTATTTTGATTTTAGTTTTTTTAATGATTTTCCTTCTTTACTCTTTATTATATTAGTTTTTCCCTTAAATAACATTAAAGTCCATTAGTATAAACTTTATTAACAAAATATTCCGTTAACTATTTATTATTTTTAGTTACTCATTAATTTATATAAGAAATGCCTTAGGTTCGAATCTCATCTCAATTAGAGTTGGCATAATTATTTAACATATACTAAAAATATGTTAAAATGTATTTAAAAAATAATATATAAAATTTAACATAAACTTTGGTCAAATAATTAACTCAACTAAATACATAGCATTTGATGGGGATATGGGACCCTAGGGGGTCCATTTTATTGAGAAAGTATTGGCCCAAGTGGGGGTGGTGAAAGAAGGAGGTTGGCCCAAGTCTTGTTGTGCTAGGAAGACAAGCACGCATGGTGGGCCGGGGTGAAGAGCATGGACCGGAAGGGGGGAGGTAGGTATAGCGAGAGAGGGGGGAGGTAGGTGCAGGAGGTAGGTACGGCGCGAGGGGGAGTGGAGGTAGGTACAGCGTGAGGGGGAGTGGAGGTAGGTGCAGGAGGTAGGTACGGCGTGAGGGGGAGTGGAGGTAGGTGCGGGAGGTAGGTATGACGGCGTGAGGGGGGAGGTAGGTACGACGTAAGGGGGGAGGTAGATACGGCGTGAGGGGGAGTAAAGGTAGGTGCGGGAGATAGGTACGACGTGAGGGGGGAGGTAGGTACGGCGTGAGGGGGTAGGTACGGCGTGAGGGGAGGAGGTAGGTGCGGCGTGCATGGTGGAAGATGTTAGTCAGCGTGTGCGGTGTGGATGCGGGAGTCGCGGGGATAGCGGCGACGTGACGTGCATGGTGACAAACAAGCGGAGTGGGGGAGTAACAACGTGGGACACATGGGCGCCAGAGGAGGAGGGGGGCTTTCTATAAATAGGGGCCCTGGATCTTTGGCTAAGGGCAACTCAGACACGACAGGCACTACCGTCTAGTGGTCTTGATCTCATACTCTTAATTCAGTCACCTGGGTTCGATTCCTACCAGTAGCATAGTTAGCTATAGCCCATCCTGTGGGCCTTGTTCTTTGTATTTGGGCTGCCATTCTGGGCCTGTACCTCGGGATTTGTTTTGGGCCGCCATTCTGGGCTTGTACATCGGGCTTTGTTTTAGGCCTAACGCCCTACCCTCGTTCTGTATCCCTGTACCTGGTTTATGGTGGACCCGATCCCAATAAAACCATCAGCATTCAATGATTATAAATTAGAAACTTTGAAAATCATTTGATTTTCTATCATTTAAAAAAAATTAAGTTAAGTTTTTTTTTTCATTTAATTAATCTTCTTTTGATTATTGAGAACAAAACTTAACTTTTCAATTATGCTTTATTCAATGCATGAAAACTTCTAAACAAATTTGTAAGTTAACTTTTACTAATTACTATATTATTATAACAATATCTATTGTAACCTTATATTTTGAATTATTTATTATCATCCTCTGTTGACAGCAATTGTCATTGACAAACTCTCAAAATAATTTGTCTCAACAACGATGGAAATTAAAAAAAAAAATCAATGATTTCATTATTGCATGTGGGTGAAAGGTATGTAGCCACTTTATTGCTCTTATTAAATTAAAAAATAAATTAGTAGCTACAACACAAAAATATATATGCATATAATTAATTTAGAAATTTGAATTAGATGTCTATAATACCTCTATTTAAAAAGAATTATTCATTATAAAAAGGATTTTAACACACAAAAAATCATAACACAAAATTATTTTTCTCTGCACGTCTCTCTTGCTACTTTCGCGAGTTCTTTAGGGTTTGTGTTTTTTTGTGAGGTTTTGCCGGCGATCACCCGACGGAAGCGAGCATTGACGCAGAATTATGGCTGAGAGGAATATGGAAGACTTGTGTGCGGGTTTAACTTTGGCGGATGTGGAGGATGATGACAATACTGTGCAACTCCCCCATGTTGCGAGAGAACAGGCCATCGAAGACGACAACTTTTACGCGGTGGGAAGATTGGTAACGAATCGGCCGATCCGGTTTCCGTTTTTTCAAGATACAATGGCAAGGGTGTGGCAAGCGGCTATGGGGGTAAACATGCGTGAACTGCTGCCTAAACGATATCTAATTCGTTTCTACCATGAAGGGGATCTCCAACGCATACTGAATGACGGGCCTTGGGCATACGAACAGAATTTGTTAATCATGAAAAAGCTGTTCCCTGGGGATGATCCTGACACAGTACAACTCACCCATGCAGATTTTTGGATCCAAATTCACTCTTTACCGGTAGGTTTTCGTTCGGAAGCAGTGGTTAAGGCTGTGGGTTCATTTCTTGGGACGGTGGTGCAAGCGGACGACCGTAATTTTGATGGCTCAATGAGGGCCTTCTACCGGGTGCGGGTCTCAATGGATGTGACGAAGCCGTTAAAGAAGCAGATGAAACTGAGAATGGATGCAGGTTCTTGGTCGTTCATAGATTTCAGGTATGAGCGCCTTCCGACTTTTTGTTTTCTTTGCGGGTTGATTGGGCATGGTGATAAACATTGTAGATTAGCGTTGAATCGTGATCCCAATGCGGAGAAGCCGTATGGTGCGTGGCTAAGGGCCGGTATGCGACGGGGTATGCCCACCTTGAATCGATGTTGGATCCCTCCTGAGTCGAGAGTGGATCGGAGGAGCTGGAGGTCTCCGGCTATGATGGTAAATGTTGATGATTCTGGGGCTGGAACGGGGCAACAGGGCCCATTAGAACGAAGTGAGGGTGGAGGGGAATCTGAAAATGTTGAGGGCGAATTGGTTGCTGCGGCAGTGGGGACGCAAATGGCAGTGAATCAGCACAATTCTTAATGGTTAGTCGCTGGTTTGGTTGTTGCGGCAGTGGGGGCGCAAATGGCACAAAATCAGTACAATTCATCAGGGTTAGTGGCTGGTTTGGTAGTTGGGGAGCAAAAGAGGAGACGTGTGGAGGAGGGTGTGGAAAATCCAGCAGTTTGTGTTGAAAGTATGGACTGTGAGACAACTTTGTCAAAAAACGGAGAGCAGGCGGGACTTGCGGAGCAAGCCCGCCGAGAGTTATGAGTATAATATCTTGGAACTGATGGGGGCATGGCAACCAGACGACAGTTCAAGTGTTGGCGGACGTGGTCCGCTCGAAGAGGCGGAGTGTGGTTTACCTAATTGAAACGTTTGTGGATAAACATCGAATGGAAACAATTAGTGTACAGTTGGGTTTTGATAGTGTGTTTACGGTGGATGCTGATGGTCATAGGGGTGGTTTGGCCCTTTTATGGAATAAAACAGTGGATTTGAGGGTAACGGGGTACTCAAGTAATCATGTTGATACTAAAGTCAGGCTTGATGTGGGAAGCCCATGTTAGTGTTTTACTGGGTTTTATGGGTTTTCAGAGAGGCAACGGAGGCGGGAGGCATGGCAATTGTTACGGTCTTTATCTGCTCAATCACAGCTACCATTGTTGTTATGGGTGACTATAATGATCTCCTGGACCAATTTGAGAAGCGTTGACGGATTCCACACCCGGAGTGGTTGATTAATGGGTTTAGGGAGGCGGTGGCAGATAGTGGATTGCAGGATGTCCCTTTTGGTGGATACCAATATACATGGGTAAAGTCGAGGGGCACTGATAGAATGATAGAGGAGAAATTGGACCGAATACTAGCAAGCGACAGTTGGCTTAATTTGTTTGAGGGGGTACGGGCGCTCTCTTTGACAATCCCGTATAGTGACCATCGACCGCTAATTTTAACGCCTGTTAGTTTGCCGACAGTCCGAAGGAGGGCGAGGTTCTGTTTTGATAATATGTGGCTTCGGGAGGAGGCGTGTAGGGAGATTGTTGCACAAAGTTGGGATCGGACAGTAGGGCATGACACATTAGCCAGGGTGGAGGCTTATGCCCGTGAC